CTCTCTCCACAGAAGCTGCGCGAGTGGTTTGCTCGCCGCTGGAGGCGTGCTGCTGGAGCTGGAGCTCCTTCGACTGCTGAGGGTGCTGGTGCTGCCGGTCCCGGAGCTGCTGGGCCTGCGGGTCCTACTGGAGCTGGAGCTGCTGAGCCTGGGGGTGCTGAGTCTGGAGCTGCTGAGCCTGGGGGTGCTGAGTCTGGAGCTGCTGAGCCTAGGGGTGCTACGTCTGGAGCCGCTAAGCCTGGGGTTTCTCCTGGTGCTGCGTCTCGGCGGGAGCCCCTCTCTCCACAGGAGCTGCGCGAGTGGTTTGCTCGCCGCTGGAGGCGTACTGCTGGAGCTGGAGCTTCTTCGACCGTCGAGGGTACTGGTGCCGCCGGTCCCGGAGGTGCTACGCCTGCGGGTCCTACTGGAGCTGGGGCTGCTGAGGGCGTTGGTGCTGAGTCTGCTGCTGTCTGTCCTGACGGTGGTTCTGCTGCTGGTGCTGCTGGAGGTCCTGCCGCTGGAGGTGTTGGTGGCGCTGGTGCTGCCGCTGAGGGTGCTGGTGCTGTCCCTGCTGAGTCTGGAGCTGTCGCGCGGCCTCGGCCGTACTTCGTTCCGCTTCTGCAGCAGGTTCTTGGTCTTTCTCCTCCGGTAGAGTGTCCACAGCCTGTCCAGTCGCAGTCACTGTTGGAGCCTACCTCCCCACTGCCTGCTCCCTCTCCTTACACTGGTCCTACTGGAGGTCTTGCTGAGCGTCGTGAGCCTGCGTCTCGTCCCGCGTCGCCTGTTCGTGCTGCCCGCGCTAGTGGTCGTGGTTCGCGTCCGCGTCCTCCTCCTGTCCCTGGCACGCACCGTATGTCTCTGCGTCCGTCCACTGCTCCTCTGCGTGCCCTTTTGCCTTCTCCTCCTGAGTCCTCCCTTCCTGTGCTTACCGACCCAGAGTCGGACTCCCTTCGTGCTGCCAGTCCTACTGTCACGCGTCTGCTTGCTACTGTCGTCACTGACCCCTCTTTTGAGTCCGCTGGTGCGTCTGCTCTTGTCGCTGAGCTCGTCGACTTTGCTGCTCGCTGTCGTCTAGACTACGCTGCTAGTCTTGTTGCTGAGTCTGCGTCTGTCTGTCCTCCGTCCGTCGGGGGTGAGTGTGCTCTTGGCACGGACGTCCTAGAGGACAGGCAGGAGGAGTTCCAGTGTCTGGCTGCTGCTTCACCTCATCTCGCGTCTGTACTGCTTGCTCCTGTGGGAGACCCGGATGCACTAGACATCCCGACTCCGCGCTCTTACGCGGAGGCCGTAGAGGGTCCCTACTCGTCTCAGTGGCAGGCAGCTATGGATGCAGAGATGGCTTCCTGGAAGTCCACAGGCACCTACGTTGACGCGGTTCCCCCTCCTGGGGCGAACATCGTCAGTGGCATGTGGATCTTCAGGGTGAAGCGGCCGCCGGGCTCTCCACCTGTCTTCGAGGCGCGGTACGTCGCTCGTGGCTTCAGTCAGCGGCAGGGAGTTGACTACTTTCAGACCTTCTCTCCCACCCCGAAGATGACCACTCTTCGGGTGCTGCTGCACATAGCCGCTCAGCGCGACTACGAGCTTCACTCTCTCGACTTCAGTATTGCGTTCTTGCAGGGGAGCCTGCACGAGGAGATCTGGCTGCGCCGTCCACCTGGCTTCACTGGGACTTTCCCTCCTGGCACCCAGTGGAGCCTCCGACGGCCAGTCTACGGTCTCCGCCAGGCACCACGTGAGTGGCACGACACACTGAGGACTACGCTTGCGGCCCTTGGGTTTGCTCCTTCTACTGCTGACCCGTCGCTGTTTCTGCGCACCGACACTTCACTGCCGCCATTCTACATCCTCGTGTACGTCGACGACTTGGTCTTTGCCACAGAGGACACTGCTGGACTCGCCTACGTGAAGTCCGAGCTGCTGAAGAGACACACGTGCACAGACTTGGGTGAACTGCGCAGCTACCTTGGCTTGCAGATCACTCGGGACAGAGCACGCCGCACCATTACCTTGACTCAGTCACACATGGTGCAGCAGGTCCTTCAGCGCTTCGGCTTCACGTACTCCTCGCCTCAGGCCACTCCTCTGTCTACTCGCCACTCGCTCTCAGCTCTGCCTTCGGATGAGTCCGTAGAGTCGAGTGGCCCGTACCCAGAGCTTGTTGGCTGCCTCATGTACCTGATGACCTGCACACGACCTGACCTTGCATACCCTCTTAGCATTCTGGCACGCTATGTTGCTCCTGGGAGACACCGACCAGAGCACATGGCTGCAGCGAAGAGGGTATTGCGCTACCTGTGCAGTACGTCGGGCATGGGGCTAGTGCTTGGAGGGCGGAGTCCAGTGGTACTTACAGGTCACGCGGACGCTTCTTGGGCTGACGACCAGGCTACGCAGCGGTCGTCACAGGGTTACACTTTCAGCCTTGGCTCCGGCTCTGTCTCGTGGCGGGCTACTCGCTCGTCTTCGGTTCTCAGCTCGAGTTGTGAGGCTGAGATCTACGCAGGGGCCATGGCTGCACAGGAGCTTCGCTGGCTCACCTACCTGCTGACTGACCTTGGAGAGCCGCCTCGTTCTCCTCCAGTGCTGTACGTAGACAACAAGGCCATGCTGGCCTTGTGTCGAGAGCAGCGTCTGGAGCACAGAACGAAGCACATTGCTCTTCGCTACTTCCTTGCTCGTGAGCTACAGCAGCGTGGACAGTTGCGGCTTGCGTACGTGGCCTCTGAGGCCAACACTGTGTTCACCAAGGCACTCGCGCCTTGTGACCATCAGCGCTTCTGCACCCAGCTGGGTCTTGTGCCTGTCTTGCCTCACTTGCTCTCCTCTTGACTTTACTTGTACTGTCACATAGATATACCTGCTCTTGCTTGTCTAGCTTTATATATATATGTGTGTACTCCTGCATGTGAACTGGCCTTGTGGCCTTGCTCTTGTGCTCGGACTGTGTGGTGACTTTGTGATCCACCCTGAGCTTTGCTTTGCTTTGCTTGACTGGTCTTGTGACCCCTTGTTCTCCCCCACTTTGCCTATGGGGGTGTGTCAGAACATATATGTAGCTTATGCTGTTGTGTAGGCTACAGTGGGGTATACCATAGGGGGTACAACCCAATTAGGGTTTTGCTATTTGTACTCACTTCACTCATAGTTCATTCATTCTCGTTCTATTCTCCACAGTGCTTTCTTCATTTTGTAGCACAACAAAAACTGATGTCCTGCTGCGCCGCAAAATTCGCATTTTGTCGGCTGCTGCTTCGCCTCGTATTTGTCGATATCCATCGGTTCGGTGAACGTGGGGGGTGCCGATCGCTCCGTGCCGAATGTACGGTTCGGCGTGAAGCGTCGTGTTTCGGGTTGACTTCGAGTCAGCGCGTCGTATCGCTCGGCAGCACGCACGATGTCTCTGTAGCTGTTGTAATTCGCCGCAATCACCTGCCACCGAATCTCCATTTTTAATCCTTCGGTGTACGCCTGGATTTTTTCGCCTTCGGTCAGGTCGGTGATGCGGTTGAACAGTAACTCCATCTGCTGCGTGTACTGTGTTACACTACTGTATTGCTTGTGTCGGTGTATTTGCTGCCGCGCCATGTAGGTTGTATTAATTGGTTCGAAACGCTCGATTAAATCTGCCCAAAACTGCTGCCACGTTTTCTCCCCGCGGGCTACGTCGGTGTAGTAAATCCATTCGAGAGCCGGTCCACGTAACAGTGTCGCTGCGAGCCGAATCCTTGCTGCGTCGTGTTGCGGGGTCGAACAGCCAATGGCCTCGAAGTAAATTTCGAGGGTGGCCACGAATCGCCGGACGTCGGATCCCTTCGCGCTTGGATCGAACGCCTCCGGGAGCCTCAGTCGTGTTGCTTCGAGGTTCGGCGACAGTGGTGCCATTGGTCCGTGAAATGTCGGTGTCGCCACTGCTGCTGGAGTTGTCGGTGCTGTAGTCGCTGTGGTCGCTGCTGCTGCGGTGGCGAACCCTGGTTGGCTTGTCAGAAAAGCCTCGAGTCGACGAAGCGTCGCCTGCGTCTGCTCTATGTCGGTGCGGAGGCTCGCGATGTCGCTCGTAGTCGCGTAGTTGTCGCCTTGGCCCTCCATTTGGTGATTTACAGGAAGATGCGCGACGAAAATAATCGAATTCTAGATGCTGGTCGACTTATTGCGAGTCAAATGGACTGTAGAATCGACGAGCGCGAATTCTGTAGGTTGCGTAAATCTCCCTTAGGCGAAATTCGCGTCCGATCTTGACCGTTGAGGAGAAATCGATCCGACGCTCCAAATTCCAACTTTTTTGGGCGAAATTCTCTGGGCCGTTGAGATGAAACTCGATCGAACGGTCGAAACTCCAACCTTTCCACCAGTAAATCTGAGGGGTGTTCGAAAACCGAATCGAGGGGGACTAAAAAAAATTGCGCGGAACTGGTTTTACATACCCGTATCGGCGCTTTCGTCGTCGCCCCCGCGGTTTTTAAAGGCCGGAACTAAGCGGTTGAAGACCTCGCGTGTAAACCCGCTCTGATTACCAAGTGTGAGGATCTAGGATCGAGTTCAGAAAAGAGAATGAGAATTGAGTCGAATTGAATTGAATTGAATGTCCACCTGGGTACAACACGAGGCTATATATAGGCTCGACACAAGGCCCCGTAACCAGGTGTTACGCGAAGGTTCCGCGGGTCGCGAAGCGTCCCGAACAGATCCTTACCGAATTCGGTAGAAGGCAATTCGGTGGCAACCGAAAAGCCAGAATTCGGTGCACGCAACCTAGCTCGGTGCTATAACTATAATAAAATATAGGAAAGCACCTAGCCTAGGAAATCAAGCAATTCATGCATGCATATAAATATCCTATGCTAGAAATAGCATGATAAAAGTAAAGGTAAGCAAGCATAGCTGGCATAAGCCGTCGTACTCTCACACCAACGCTGTCCGCCTTTGCCACAGTGGTCGATCTCGTCAATCACCTTCGTATTAGTGAAACTCGCTACCGTGCTGCGCTTCCCGCCGAGTTTCAAACCAAGAACCCTCCTCCCATGTACATCACTCTCTACTTCATAGTCACCCGCCTCCCTGACTCTCTTAGCAATGTCACGGACATCCTTCTAGCTGTTGACCCCACCACCCTCACTGTCGACCTGCTCGAGAAGCACATCTTTGCAGCTGAGACTAGCATAGTCGCTGGAGGCGCTTCTCGTGACACTCATCGCACCCCCTTCTTTGAGGGGTGTTCGCCCTCCCCCCTTCTCCCCTCGGTCGCGTCTGTTGCCGCTGTTGACTACCTTCGTGCTGAGGAGGTAGGAGCTCCGTCTGCTCACGAGGAGGTAGTGGGAGGCGCTGCAGCGGCAGGGGCAAGGGATGCAGGGGCGGTGGGGGCGGCAGAGGTGGAGGCGGTGGTGGGGGCGATGGAGGCGGTGGAGGGGGCAGCGGTGTCGGAGGGAGTGGTGGTGGGGGTGGAGGTGTAGGTGGCGGCACTGGTGGCGGTAGTGGTGGAGGCAGTGGTGGCGGCAGTGGGAGTGGAGGTGGTGACATTGGTGGTGGTCGGGGTGGTACGAGTCAGAGAAGAGGCCTGGGCAGGGGTCAGAGACAGCAGCAGCGTCAGCTTTCGCCCCAGGAGCTACGTGAGTGGTTTGCTCAGCGTGGGGCGGCTGGGGGTAGTGGTCCCTGCCCGTATGTCATTCGCACGGGTGACCGCACTGGTTAGACATGCGGGAAGCGCCACACCCAGTACCGCTGCTTCTCTTGTCTTACCGATGCAGACTCTCCACCTGGACGTGTGGGGCCCAGCCCGCGTCGGTGGACAGGGCCACGAGCGGTACTTTCTGCTGGTTGTCGACGACTACACGCGTTACACCACGGTCTTCCCCTTGCGCCGCAATGGGGAGGTCCTTGATGTTCTAATCCCTTGGATCTGCGATGTTCGTCTCCAGCTCTGCGAGCGGTTCGAGACAAACCTTCCTGTCCTGCGTCTGCAACCTGACAAAGGTGGTGAGTTTTCCTCCGACCTCTTGCGGGACTTTTGTTGTGGGGAGGGCATTCGCCAGTCTTTCACGCTTCCAGCCTCTCCGCAGCAGAATGGGGTTGCTGATCGCCACATTGGCTTAGTCATGTAGGTGGCTCGTACCTCCATGATCCATGCAGCTGCCCCCTATTTGTTTTTGCTGTTTGCAGTCCAGTACGCTGCGCATCAGCTCAACCTTTGGCCCCGTGTCTCCTTGCCGGAGACCTCGCCCGCACTGCGATGGACGGGGGAGGTTGGCGATGAGTCGGTGTTCCGGGTATGGGGATGTCATGCTTTTGTCCGCGATACCTCCGCGGACAAGCTCTCCTCCCGCGCCGTTCCATCCGTCTTCCTTGGCTCTCCCCCTGACGCGCCTGGCTGGCAGTTTTACCACCCCACCTCGCGCCGTGTACTGTCCTCTCAGGACGTTATGTTTGACAAGTCGGTTCCTTTTTACCGTCTCTTCCCCTACTGCACTGCCCCTCTCCCTCCCCCGCCGCTCTTCCTCGCACCAGGTCTTCCTCCTGTAGACCCCTCCCCCTCAGGGTCCTGCTCCCTCAGGTGTGTCCTAGGTAGACCTCGTCGAGCCTGTCGAGGAAGCTGTTGACTCTGGTGCTGCTTGGGGTCCTGCGTATGGGGGTGTTGAGCCTGCGGGTACGGAGCCTGGGGGTGCTGAGCTTGAGCGTGCGGAGCGTGGGGTTACTGAGCCTGGGGTTGCTGAGTGTGGGGTGCTGAGCCTGAGGGTGCAGAGCCTGGGGGTGCTGAGCCTGAGCATGCGGGGCCTGGAGGTGCTGAGCCCGGGGGTGCTGAGCCCGAGTGAGCTGAGCCTGGAGGTCCGTTGGGTGTCGTGTCCCGGCAGGAGTCTCTCTCTCCACTACAGCTGCGTGAGTGGTTTTCTCGGCGCTGGAGCCTCCGGAGTGGTGCTGCTGGAGTTGAGGGGCCTACCGCTGGAGGCCCTGGAGCTGGAGGTGCTACTGGAGCTGGAGCTGCTGGAGGTACTGGAGCCGCTAGTCCCGGATGTGCTCGTACTGGAGCTGCTGGAGTTGGAGGTACTGCTAGAGCTGGAGCTGCTGGAGGTGCTGGAGCTGCTGGTTCCGGAGGTGCTCGTACAGGAGGTACAGGTGCTGCTGGAGCTGGAGCTGCTGGAGGTGCTGGAGCCGCTGGTCCCGGAGGTGCTCTCACTGGAGGTACTAGAGCTGCTGGAGTTGGGGGTCCTGCTGGAGCTGGAGCTGCTAGAGGTACTGGAGCTACTGGAGCTGGTGGTCCTGCAGGCGTTGGAGCTGCTGGAGGCCCTAAAGCTGGAGGTACTAGCCCTTGGGGTGCTGGTTCTGTCGGAGCTTGTTCTGGAGGCGTTGTGCAGCTGCGACCGTACTTCGTTCCACTCCTTCAGCACATTCTTGGTCTCCCGCCTTCTACTGACCTTACTCCTCCCTTACTGCGTCCACCGCCTGATCAGTCACAGCCACAGCTACTGCCAGCCTCCCCACTGCCGGCTCCCTCTCCTTACACTGAGCAGCCCGGTGGACTTACAGAGCGTCGTGAGCTTGCGTCTCGTCCTGCGTCACCTGTTCGCGTTGTTCGCACTAGTCGTCGTGTTCCGCGTCACCGTCCTCCTCCTGTGCCCGGCACGCACCAGATGGCACTTCGTCCTTCCTCTGTTCCACTACGTGTCCCTTTGCCGTCTCCTCCTGCATCCTCTCTTGCTGACAGATCGGACCCTGTGTGAGACTGAATTCGTGCTACTAGTCTTACTGTCATACATCTTGTGCCCACTGTTGCCACTAACCCTTCCTTTGAGTCCACTGCTGCGTCTACCCTAGTTGTTGAGCTTGTTAACTTTGCCGCCGCCTATCGCCTAGACTACGCTACTAGTCTTGTTGCTAAGTCTGAGTGTTTCTATCCTCCGTCCGTCGAGGGTGAGTGTGATCTTGGCACGGACATCCTCGAGGACAGGGAAGAGCACTTTGAGTGTTTTGCAGTTGCTTTACCTCATCTCGTGTCCATGCTGATTGCACCTGAGAGAGACCCGGATGCACCAAACATCCCGACCCCATGCTCTAACGCAGAGGCGATTCAGAGTCCCTACTCTTCTCAGTGACAAACAGCCATGAACGCAGAGATAGCTTCCTAGAAGTCCACAGGAACCTACGTCGACAAGGTTCCCCCACCTGGAGCGAACATCGTCAGTGGCATGTGGATTTTCAGGGTGAAGCGGCCGCCAGGTTCTCCGCCTGTCTTCAAGGCGCGTTACGTTGCTCGAGGCTTCAGTCACCGACAGGGAGTTGTCTTCTTCCAGACCTTCTCCCCTACCCCATAGATGACCACTCTTCGGGTGCGGCTGCACGTCGCTGCTCAGCGTGACTACGAGCTTCACTCTCTTGACTTCGGCACAGCCTTCCTATAGGGGAGCCTGCACGAGGAGATCTGGCTGCGCTGCCCTCCTGGCTTCACAGGGTCGTTCCGTGCAGGTACCCAGTGGAGCCTCCGACGGCCAGTCTACGGTCTCCCCCAGGCGCCTCGCGAGTGGCACGACACACTGAGGACGACGCTTGCGGCTCTTGGGTTTGCTCCTTCGATTGCTGACCCGTCGCTGTTTCTACGCACCGACACTTCTCTGCCGCCGTTCTACATCCTCGTGTACGTAGACGACTTAGTCTTTGCCAGTGGTGACACTGCTGGACTGGCCCACGTGAAGTCGGAGCTGCAGAAGAAATACACGTGCACAGACCTCGGTGAGCTGCGCAGCTATCTTGGCTTGCAGATCACCCGGGACAGAGCACAGCACACCATTACCTTGACTCAGTCACACATGGTGCAGCAGGTCCTTCAGTGCTTCGACTTCTAGTACTCCTCCCCACAGTCCACTCCTCTGCCTACCGGTCACTCGCTCTCAGCTCTGCCTTCGGATGATTCCGTAAAGCCGAGTGGCCCATATCTAGAGCTTGTGGGCTGGCTCATGTACCTGATGACCTGCACTAGACCTGACCTTGCTTACCCTCTTAGCATCCTGGCATGCTACGTTGCTCCCGAGAGACACCGACCAGAGCACTGGAAGGCCGCTAAGAGGGTGATGCGCTACTTGTGCAGTACGTCGGGCATGGGGCTATTGCTTGGAGGACGGGCTCGAGTTGTCCTCAGTGGTCACGCAGACGCTTCTTGGGTTGACGACTTGGCTACGCAGCGGTCGTCACAGGGTTACACCTTCAGCCTTGCCTCCGAATCTCTTTCGTGGCAGTCTACCCTCTCGATTCTGTTCTCCGCTCCAGTTGTGAGGCTGAGATCTACGCAGGGACCATGGTTGCACAGGAGTTATGCTGGCTCACCTACCTGCTTATGGACTTGGGAGAGCCGCCTCGTTCTCCTCCAACACTGTACGTCGACAACAAGGCCATGATTGCCTTGTGTCAAGAGCACAGAATGGAGCACAAAACGAAGCACATTGCTCTGCGCTACTTCCTTGCTCGAGAGTTGCAGTAGTGTGGTCAGCTTTGTCTTGTTTACGTGGCCTTTGAGGTCAACACAGCTGGTATCTTCACCAAGGCACTTCAGCCTTGTGATCATTAGCGTTTCTGTACTGTTCTAGGCCTTGTGCCTACTTTGCCTCACTTGCTCACTTCTTGACTTTGCCTGTACTGTGATCTGTATACTTATACGTGCATGCTTGCACTTCCTAGGTTGTGATCACTGTACTGCTTGTTCTCCTTTATATTTATAACTCCGCATGTGAACTGGCCTTGTGGCCACTTGGTTGTGGTCAGACTGCGTGGTGACTTCGTGATCCACCCTCAGCTTGCGTTGTGTTGTCGTTTCTCTTGATTGGTCTTGTGGCCATTGCTTTCTCTATCTATCCCCCATTTCGCCTATGGGGGTGTGTCAAAACATATATGCTTATGTTGTTTAGGCTATATGGGTGTTAGCACTAGGGGGTACAGAATTTCACTCGATGTTGTTCTTGTACCCCTCCCCTTGACCTAATGACCATCCTATTCTTCTCGACACGCGGCTGATGTTCGAGATGTAGCGTACTGATCCTACCATGTGTTGACTGCAGCAACTGTCCTGGTACCATTGGTTGTGGGTTCAGGGTTATTCCTCTACAGCAATAGCGCAAGTCGCGGCGTGACGGTGGTCGGTGTATCGACTATAAAGAAGTTTTCCTCTTGTCGCCAATCGCAAGGGAACTCGTCGCTGATCGTGACGGTAATGTGAGCTTCGTCTCAGCTGAATAGGTAAGTGCCATTCTTGCCGGTCTTCATCTTCATAGTAGTAGTCTCCGTTAGTGAGTGGGTTCTTGTACCCCACTTCTTGTTGAATGAGCTCGCTGACGGGTTTATCTTCTTCGTCCGGTGACGTAGCTCGTGGGCGTCGCCTTTGAGAAAATGAGAATGGATGAACTATGAAACAGTTGGGTACAAGTACTAACCCTAATTGGGTTGTACCCCATATGGGCTACCCCACTACAGCCTACACAAAAGCATAAGCTATAATGTTCTGACACACCCCCATAGGCAAAGTGGGGGAGAACAAGCGGTCACAAGACCAGTCAAGCAAAGCAAAGCAAAGCAAGCTCACGGTGGATCACAAAGTCACCACACATTCCGAGCACAAGTTCAAGGCCACAAGGCCAGTTCACATGCATGAGTACATATATATAGAAAGCTAGACAAGCAAGAGCAGGATTATATATATGTAACAGTACAAGC